TCCCTCTGATAAAGTCCTGAAGAAGTCCTGGCCCCTCCCTTCTGGCCTCAGTCACAGGTCATGTTTCCTTTCTCTGAACTGTCAATGACATTCACAATGATTTGGCTCATAGGAGGCAATCGTTCTGATAATCAAAAAACATCTGTTTTTCCTTTTCATTTAATTTTAAGCTATTTTTTTAATTCTCTTTCACTCAAGTGAAATACATTTATTGTAGAAAACTCAGTCACACACATAATGTAGATAGTGACAGTCCCTATAATTCCTCTTCCTGTTGTTAAGATTGGTGAAAATTCCTCTAAGTAATTTTTCTTTCCATACCCTAATGTAATATTGTTTACAAAAATGGAATCATGAAAACTGTTTTGCAGTGTTCTGCAAACTTTTTCTTCTCTCACTAACCAGTATAATCCAGATAGTTTTTCATGTCGGAGCATATAGAGTTGCTTTATTAATTTTGATAACCACAAAGGAGTCCATTGTATCACTATATCATAATCTATGTAGCTCCTATTGATGGGCACTCACCTTGTTTCCAATTTTTTGATATTGGAAACAATGCTGCACATCCTGTGTGATGCTGTGAACATCCTTGTATGTGTCTTCCATATTTGAATAAATGTTTCTAAATAATACATTCTTAAAAATCTATTTGCTTACTTCAATAAAAAGTCAGGGGCCCGCCCCGTGGCGTAGTGGTTAAGTGCGCGCGCTCCGCTGCTGGCGGCCGGGTTCAGATCTTGGGCACGCACGGATGCACCGCTTGTCAGGCCATGCTGTGCAGCGTCTCATATAAAGTGGAGGAAGATGGGCACGGATATTAGCCCAGGGCTAGTCTTCCTCAGCAAAAAAAAGAGGAGAATTGGCATGGATGTTAGCTCAGGGCTGATCTTCCTCGCAAAAAAAAAAAAAGTTAAACAAATGCATATCTTAAAAGTGAAATTGCTGACTCAGAGTATTTCAGTAGATATTGCCAAATTGTCCTCCAAAAATGTTGAACCAATTTCCACTCCCACCAGTGTATGACAGCTGTTGCCCACGCTCTCGCTAACACTGGGCAGTCTTGTTTTCTTGTTTTTTGAAAATCTTTCCTATCTCATGTAGACTAGTAAGTAAAAATATAGGATGTGTAGCTAAATTTGAATTCAGATAAACAAAAAATAAAGATTACCCATCTCCATCAGTCAACTGGCCTATGTTCTGGTGTCTCCTTTGGTATCATAAGGGGTGTCTTCTCTGATTATCAATATTTATCTGAAACATTTCATCCTAAATGGACGAGAAGTATTTGCTATTTAAATTTGCATATTCGTGAGATCGGCACATGTATTGGTCATTTTTGTCCTTTCTAGTGAACTCCCTCTTTATATCCTTTGCTCCTTTTGTCAGTGGTTTGTCTTCCTTAATGATTTGTAAGAATTTTTTATACTAAGGAATTAGACCTGTTACATATGCCCAGCTTCCCTTTTGACTATTTTTGTTTTCCCCCACCTAGAAGTGTTGCATTTTTATGTGGTCCCACCTATCGAGCTCTGCCACTGTGAGAGTTTCTCAAGTCACCTGCATGCCTTGTATAAATGCACATTCCTGGGCCCCATTCCAGACCCAGCTAATCAAACTTCCAGGGGTGAAAGCTGGGACTCTGTACTTAAAATCCCTGTAGGAGATTTTCTTCCTTTCTCCTTTTCTATCTCCCTTTTCTTTTTTCTTCTTTCCCTTTCCTCCCATCCATCCTTCCCAATTTTTATTATATTCAATGATCAATAGTGAAGAATTAAAAAAAAAAAAAGTGAAGGATTTGCTAGAATTATTAAAATAAAAAATATAGAAGTAAACATGTAAACTATGCAATTGGAAGCTACTGTCATCTTCTGAGAGTGTGCTGTGATTAAAATGACTTATTCTTTATCAGTTCTTGACTTTAGGGAGAATGAAAAAGGAATTTTAAAGGTTTCCTCTGTCTTAACATAAAAAAAATCTTTTATTATGGAAAATTTCAAGCATATACAAAAGTAAAGAGAATAATATAATTCCCATGTACCTATGTCCCAGCTTCAAAAATTATCAACAAAAGGCCAGTCTTATTTAATCTCTATGCCCTATTCCCCCCAGATCATTTTCAAGCAAGTCCCAGGAGATTCTTAAACTCATTCAAGATTCAGAACTTTACGATTTCTGGGTTTCCCATTGTGCTTTAAAAGTTCTTTCCAACTCCAAAAAAAAAATATTTACTCATGTTTTTTCTAGCTACTACCTGTATGATCTCATTTTCTTTGGTTTCAATCTCAAGTGTTTGAAGTCTATTACTATTAAAAAAAAAAACAACTGGAGACATTGGAGGTAATGCTAAGGAACAGGTACCTGAAATATCTTCTACAAGAGCTTTCAAACATTGTTCTTTAATATTCCATCCAACAGGATTAACAGAATTTCCTTACATGTTACTAATGGCGAGCAAGATCCTTGTCTCAGTGTTTGCATCCACGCCACTTGATGTTCATATTCAATACAGTCTTAGATTACTCCAATTAGTTAAAGAAAGGGGATCTGAGAAGTATTTAGGCATGAGCAACAGACAATTAAAAATGCTAACGCTTTGAACATGAGAAGAATTAAGTGTTATCGAGGCAGAGAGGCCTATAGCTGTAGATTACTAGTCTGGGTCACACCGCTGGTTGACTCACCATCTAGCTAGAGTCCCTTAACCCCCCATCTGTAAAATATGGAGAGCAGCACTACCTACTTACCTACCACATGCAGAAAAGTTAGCGTTATAGCTTGATCTTTAGAGAAGTGAGCTGCCTAATTAGCCGAGTTTCCTTTAATTGTTCTTAGTCTTTATCTCTTTTTTTTTTCTTGTGAGGAAGATCAGCCCTGAGCTAACATCCATGCCAATCCTCCTCCTTTTTTCCCCTTTTTCTCCCCAAAGCCCCAGCAGATAGTTGTATGTCATAGTTGCACATCCTTCTAGTTGCTGCATGTGGGACGCGGCCTCAGCATGGCCTGACAAGCAGTGCGTCGGTGCGCGCCCGGGATCTGAAAGCCGGCCGCCAGTAGCAGAGCGCGAGCACTCAACCGCTAAGCCACGGGGCCGGCCGCTCTTAATGTCTCTCTCAATGAAGTGATTAATCCTCGGTAAATACATATTCTCTTCCACTTGTAGAATGAGGAAATAGAAATCAAGGCCTTGCAGAATATTTTTAAAACTTGTATAACTCTAAACAAAATTTGCCATTTAAATGTTTAAACATTTTTTTGAGATAAAATTTACAGTATTCATTTAAACTACTTTCAAAATGTACAATTTAGTGATTTCAGTATATTCACAAGATTGTGCAACCACCACCACTAATTCCAGAACATTTCATGACCCTAAGCGGAAATCCCCTTCTTCTCATCCCCTGGCAACAATGAATTCACTTTCTGTTTTACAAATTTGCCTATTTGGGACACTTCATATAAATGGAATCATACAGTATGTGGCTTCTTTCACTTGGTTTATGTTTTCAAGGTTCGTTCATGTTGTAGCAGAATCTGTACTTATTTCCTTCTTCTGGCTGAATAATATTCCATTGTATGGGTATACCACATTTTATTTATTCATTCATCACTTGATGGATATTTCGGTTGTTCCCTTTTGGGCTAGCACGCATAATTCTGCCATGAACACTCATATACAAGTGTTTGTGTGAACATGTTTTCATTTCTCTTGAGTACACACCTAGGAGTAGGATTGCTGGGTCATTAGGGTAACTAAGCTTAACTGTTTGAGGAACTGCCAAACCATTTTTCAAAGTGGCTGCACCATTTCACATTCCCAACAGCAACATATAAGGGTTCCAATCTCTCCACATCCTCACCAACTTATTTTGTTTAGAATGATAGCCACCCTAGTGGGTGCGAAGTGGTATCATACTGTGGTTCTGATTTGCATTTTCCCAATAACTAATGATGTTGAGCATCTCCTCGTGTGCTTATTGACCATCTGCATTTCTTTGGAGAAATGTTTATTCAATCCTTTGCCCATTTTTAAATTGGGTTTTTTGAGTTAAGAATTTTTTGCAACCTCATGGACGATCCTACTTAGACAAAAGCCAACACAGAAAAAGAGCTGACAGAGGGCAAGACTGAACCATGATGACATATTTCAAACTCTTGTATTCACTCATGCATCAAGTCAGGCTTTAGTTTTATGAACCTATACATTCTTGGGGCTAATCTGGCTAGAATAATGGAAGGATGATCTTCTACGTCAGGGTCATCAAGAAGAATGGGATTTTTTTCCCCCATTAGTTTTTCTGATCTATCCCCAGGCCCTGCCCTATACTATGGGCACTGGGGTAAGAGGTAGAGGAAAGCTGGGTGATGCCTGGCAGAAATAGAAGCGCCACCCCCAATCCCAGAGGACTTCTGGCAGAAATTCCAGACCATAGAGACCTTTGCACAACCACCATAATACTTATAAATATCACAACTTAAAAAATACAGCAACAAAGTAAAAAGTAACCAATCTACCAGGGCAGATACATAAAAAGTACCTTAAAGTGCAAGAGTGGTTAGTTGTGAGTCTACAGAGAAGACAGAATCACTGCCTCAGGTGTGGGCCTGGTGGCCATCTTTGGGAGCTTTGTATTTATGTTCATGCTCCATCTTTTCCCAAATGCTTTCCTACCTATTCTTGTCCCTAGGTTGCCAAGGTGGTTCCACCAACATAGCCTGAGAGATTAAATACTACCGGATGTTCTAGTTAGATGAGTCCAGAAGCAGAGGGCTCACCACGTGGACTTGAACAGGAGGGGCTGAAGAAAAGGCAGTATGTGAAGCGGATGCACAACTGCTTCCTGTGTGTCTCTGGAACATGCATGAGGGATTAAATATTTTTCTATGCGAAAATGAGTGACACTGAAGTAGTTAGGCAGAACAATACTTAAGATCTTTGCCATCAAAGAGTTTCTGTATGTACGAATGCCCATAAGAGATGTCTGGTCACAATATTATGGAGATACATTAATTGTGATGAGAGAGCTCCAAGTGCTTCAAAGAGGAAGAAACACATCAAGAGGCAGAAACAGGGTCCGTAAACTACCTTTATTGAGTGGTTACTGGACACTGGGCACATCGGATACAAAAGAGTTAGGATGGGGGCAGACAAGAACTTATAAAATTAAATATACACTTTAATTTTACCACTAAGTCTAACTACTATGGAAGTATAAAATTTGTACAAGTTACACTTTATAATGAAATCTTGATACCTGTCCAAAAAGATAAGCTATACAAACAACTCAATAAAAAAAACTTTAAATTGTGCTTAACATCATAGAATTACCCTAAAACGGGTTGATAAAATGCCTATACAGCATTCATTCTTATTACACACATATATTTCACATTGAAGACTGCTTGAAAAGTACAAATACCTTGACCCCACTGATGAGAAATCAATGGTCGACAACTACGTGCAGTTCCTTTAAGAAACAGCATTTGCAGTCCACTCCTCCTCTGAAGTTCCTTATTCTCAGTAGAGCTTCCTATTGAGTTCTCTTCAGAATGGTTTATATCTCTTTTGTCTGATCATCTTCTTCAAGTTTCCTAATTTCATTTTTTAAACAATTTATAGTTTCACGACTTGCTTTTAATCTCTCCTTAAGCTCTGCAATTTCGAAGCTTGTTTTTTTTTTTGCAGCTTCTAATTTTTCTCTGGTTTTCACTTCAAGTTCTGCAACTAAGGAAAACATATACTTTTATTAAATTATTTCATTTTTATCACAAGTCTAAGATATGGCACAGAGTAATGAACATGGTATTTCCTATGTCAGTGTTTCCATGACAAAGTGTGGACAACTTAAGATACATAACATTAAACACGGTAGGTGTGAGGGGGGGAGCAGGGGAGAAAGTCTGAACTCCCAAGAGAGGATCTAAGATGTTATCTACAACTGAGAATGAAGTTCTGGCCACTAATATTTTAATTGACAGTTAAGACTTTTTTTTTTTCTTTTTGGTGAGAAAGATTGGCCCTGAGCTAACATCTGTTGCCAATCTTCCTCTTTTTGCTGAAGAAGATTGTCCCTGAGCTAACATCTGTGCCAATTTTCCTCTATTTTGTACGTGGGACGCCACCACAGCATGGCTTGATGAGTGGTGCGTAGGTCTGCACCCGGGATTCGAATCTGCGAACCCCAGGCTGCCAAAGCAGGCCTCAAGAGAACTCAACCACTACGCCACCTGACTGGCCCCACACAGTTAATATTTTAAGACATGATGTCCTTGTTTTTCTCCATATACATATTAATTTGGAAATAAGGGGGCATACAATCCAAGAGACATCCAGCTAGTAAGAAGAATTAACTAAATATAGTATTCTTACATTCATGTACAGGTAAAACTTACATAATGAAAATCACACTGTCAAAACAAACATATCTCTTTTTTTCAAAAAAGACAGCAATAACTGTCTAGGTTTGAATTCCATCCCTACCATTTATTAGCTGTGCCACTCTCAGTGAGTTAGTTATTATCTCTATGCTCACTTCCAAAATAGAGATTATAATAGCAAACACCTCATAATATTATTTGAGATTTTAAATGAATTAATGTATATTAAGTATCTAGACACTGTCTGGTACATAAAAAGCCATATTATGACAGAGGAACATTAAATATTTAAAACATTCTAGGGGGCTACATAACAAATTACTAAGCAAAATATCATTACTGAAAAATAGGATACGTTTATTTAAATATTCCACTCATTTTACAAAGAAAAATGCCTACTTTCCCCCAACATTTCCACCTTGTGGACATTTCAGGCAATTGCTGCTGACTATTAAAGCATAGTTGTACTTTTGCTAATATAAGATGACTACTAACTGGAAGCAGCACAGTTTGGGGGAAGAAAACCTCAAAAAACCCAACCTCTGAAATCAGAAAGACTTGAGTTCAAATACCCCCTTGGCCTCTTGTTAGCTGAATGCTGATATCACTAAGCTTCCCTCAATCTCTTTTTTCTATATGATACAGTTAAAACTTTGTATTTCTCAGAGGATTCATGAGGATTAAGCAATATATATAAAGCATCTAGACATTAAAAACATGCAGTAATGTTTCCTTGTTTTGCTTATTGCTGGTGATTTTCTTTTCGTGATACATTTTGTAACACACGTAAATTTTCATACTGCCAAAACAATCCATATTTTTCTTTGTAATTTCTTTCATTGCTTTTATTTTTAAAATTATTTTTGAAAATAGGTACTACACACACGATACAAAATTAAAAGGCTGGGGGGCCGGCCCCATGGCTTAGCGGTTAAGTGCGCTCGATCCACTACTGGCGGCCCGGGTTGGATCCTGGGTGTGCACAGATGCACTGCTTGTCAGGCCATGCTGAGGTGGCATCCCACATACAGCAACTAGAAGGATGTGCAACTATGACATACAACTATCTACTGGGGCTTTGGGGAAAAAAAAAAGGGGGGAGGGGATTGGCAATAGATGTTAGCTCAGAGCCGGTCTTCCTCAGCAAAAAGAGGAGGATTAGCATGGATGTTAGCTCGGGGCTGATCTTCCTCACAAAAAAAAAAAAAAACAAATTAAAAGGCTGAAAGTGCAGATAATGAAAAACTGTTTCCTCCCACCCCTGCCCCCCACCACCGAGACAATCACTATTAGGTTTTTGCCAGAAATAATCTGTTCATAGACAAGCACACATCTAGGTGTTATTTCTTCTCTTTGCCCCCAAAACAAGTGGTGTCATACTACACACACTGCTCTGCACCTTGCTGTTTCACTTCACACTATATCTGAAAGCTCATCCATATCACAGATTCATCCTTTTGTCTCATTCTTTTAATGGCGGCAGAGGACCTCACTGAATGGACATACATAATTGATTAATCTGTCCCCTTTGATGTACAGAGTATTTCCGTTTTTTCTATTACAAACAATGCTATAATGTGTATGTGCAGCAGGATAAATTCCTACAAGCAGAATTGTTAGGTGGAAGGATACAGGCACTTGTAATTTTGGAAGAATGCCAAGTGACTCTTACTAGGTTCTATTACTTTATAATCTCACTAGCAACATTATGTATATTTCCCTACTGCATCAACTTTTGGGTCTTAGTTGATCTGAAAGGTTAGAAACGGTATTTCAGAGTTGTTTTTTTTTGTGAGGAAGATCAGCCCTGAGCTAACATCCATGCCAATCCTCCTCTTTTGTTTTGCTGAGGAAGACTGGCCCTGAGCTAACATCTATTGCCAATCCTCCTCCTTTTTTCCCCCTTTTTCTCCCCAAGGCCCCAGTAGATAGTTGTATGTCATAGTTGCACATCCTTCTAGTTGCTGTATGTGGGACGCCGCCTCAGCGTGGCCAGACCAGCGGTGCGTAGGTGTGTGCCCAGGAACCGAACCTGGGCCGCCAGTAGCAGAGCTTGAGCACTTAACTGCTAAGCCACAGGGCCAGCCCCGCTCAGAGTAGTTTTAATTTGCATTTCTCTTCTTATTACTGAGGCTGACTAATCTTTTTATAAGTGTAGGAAACATTTCTCCCTTCCTTTTTATGAATTGTCTGTTTTTCCTTTACTCATTTTTCTATCAGGTTATTGGCCTTTTTTTAATTGAGGTATAACTGACATAATGATTTAATATTTGTATATATTGCAAAATGATCACACAGTAAGTATGGTTAACACGTCACCATGACATAGTTAAAAATTTTTTTTATCGTGCAGAAAACTTTTAAGATCTACTCTCAGCAACCTTCAACTATATAATACAGTATTATTAACTACGGTTGCCATGCTGTACATTACATCCCCAGGACTTAATTATTTTATAACTGGAAGTTTGTCCTTTTGACCCCTCTTCACCCATTTGACCCCCACTCCTACCCCTTCTCTGGCAGCCACCAATCTGTTCTCTGTGAGTTTGGTGTTTTTTGTTTTTTTAAGATTCCATATATAAGCGAGATCATACATTATTTGTCTTTCTCTGACTTTTTTCACTTAGCATGATGCCCTCAAAGTTCATCCATGTCACAAATGGCAAGATTTCCTTTTTTAATGGCAGAATAATATTCTATTGCACACACACACATATATATATACATACATACACACACACACATTTTATCCATTCATCCATCGATGGGGACACTTAGGTTGTTTTCATATCTTGGCTATTGCAAATAATGCAGCAATGAACATGGGGGTGCATATATCTTTTTGAATTAGTGTTTTCATTTTCTTCAGATAAACACCCAGAAGTGGAACTGCTGGATCATAAGCAATTTCTATTTTTAATTTTTTGAGGAACCTCCATACCGTTTTCCATAGTGGCTATACCAGTTTACATACCCACTAGCAGTGCACAAGGGTTCCCTTTTCTCCACATCCTCACCAACACTTGTTTCTCGTCTTTTTGATAACAACCATTCTAACAGGTGAGAGGTGATCTCGCACTGTGGTTTCGATTTGCACTTCCCTGATGATTAATGATGTTGAGCACATTTTCATGTACCTGTTGACCATTTGTATGTCTTCTTTGGAAAAATGTTCAGGTCTTTTGCCCATTTTTTAATTGAACTGTTTGCTTTTTTTTTTTTTGCTATTGAGTTGTATGAGTTCTTTATATATTTTGGATAGTAACCCCTTATCAGATATATGATTTGCAAATATTTTCTCCCATTCGGTAGGCTGCCTTTTCATTTTGCTGATGGTTTCCTTTGCTGTGCAGGAGCTTTTTATTTATTGGCCTTTCTTACTGACGTGTAGGAGCTCTTTATAGAGAAACTAGTCATTTGTGATTACGAGTACAATATTTATTCACGGCTGTGTCTCTCTAGATTTTGTTTACAGTGCTTTTTTTTTTTTCTTTTTGTGAGGAGGACCAGCCCTGAGCTAACATCCAATGCCAATCCTCCTCTTTTTTGCTGAGGAAGACTGGCCCTGGGCTAACATCTGTGCCCATCTTCCTCTACTTTATACGGGACGCCGCCACAGCATGGCTTGACAAGCAGTGCGTTGGTGAACGCCCGGGATCCGAACCAGCGAACCCCGGGCCGCCGCAGCGGAGCGCGCGCACTTAACTGCTTGCGCCACCGGGCCGGACCCTGTTTACAGTGCTTTTTATCTGCAGAGATTTTTATTCCCTTGCTCCCTCTCTCCACATAATTAAAAAGCACATACTCAGTGACAGGCTCTTTGTCAGATGCTGAGCTACAGGGTCATGAGGTCATCAGAGGAACTATGAGAGCAGATTGGATTCATACCAAGGGAAAGGGTGTGTGTCTATCAGGAGGGCTTCCTGGTAGTAGTGAAATCTGCACTGAGTTTTAAGGAACAAGAGAGGAATTACGTAGAGGATGCTGACACACAGGACCTGGAAACAGCACGCACACACGTTTGGGGAACAACGAGGAGTCCTGACGACTGTACAGGCAGTCCGACATCGAGTCAGAAGACCTGCTCTGACTCTTTGGTCAGAAGGATAGCCTTCACTGCAGGTGGAGATTCTTGTTGTCTGATTTAGTCAGTACACTTTATTTCTGACAAACCCTAAGACTGCAAAGGGCAGGATATATTTGGAAGAAGACCTAGGTTACTTGACAATGAGATCCTGGAGGAAAACACTTGAAAACTTCTTGTAGCCTGTTCCAGTTTTCTGCTTCCTATATATTAAATGCCTCTGTAAAAAAGACAAATTTCTGTTTTTAATTTCCCAGTGAAGCCTCAATTTAGAGGAAATCAATCCAAAGGAGAATTGTTATTTTTGCAGAACCAGGATAACTCACTGGTTAGGAGCACAGATCATAAGGCTTTTACACAGAGACAGAACAGCTTGTTGGTTACGAGTACAGCCTCTGGTTTACAGCCCGGCTCTGCTGGGTCATGTGGGGCAAGTTATCAAATCTCCCTGTGCTCTAGGGTCATTCCCTACAAAATGTGGCTAACAGCAGCACCTTCCTCTTATGGGTACTCAATAAGTGAAGAAATGTGAAGACTCGTCTAGCACACAGTAAGTTCTCATTAAGTCTTCACTATCATTTAATTATTCCCTACAGAAGCAATTATTACTATTAAAATCTAGATCATTAGTGCTTAAGTAAATTTCCACGGGTTTACTAGTAGAAATATCTTTATAAACTTTTAATATGCTTCACAATGAGCAACCTCTATCCTGAATATTACTCTATCTAAAAATATTACTAAGTTTTTAGAGTCTAAGTTCTGAGGACTGCCTGGGATCAAGTCCTGGCTCCACCACTAACTAGTTGTGTTAACTTGGGCAAATTTCTTAACCTCCCTATGCCTCAGTTTCCTTTTCTATATGGGTTACCCAATCAAGTTATTCTAAATTTAAATGAGTTTATACATGTACAGATTTAGAAGAGTACAAATAGTAAGCAGTCCATAAAACTAACTGATATCTTATTGTTACCCAAATATGGAGTATAATGCCCTCAAATTGGTAAAAGTATATATATCTGTTTTAGGCCTTTGATTAATATTCCCAAATTACTTTCCTAAAAGGCTAAAGCAATTTATACTCACAAAAACAATTCATGAAAATGTAGGCTTTACCACATCCTTAATAGGTATAACTAGTAAAGATTCCTTTTGTTAATTTGATAAAAATATAGCCACCCATAATTGTTTGGTTTGCATTTTTAAAATTCCTACTGGGGCCAAATATTTTCCCATTTTATTTACTAGGCATCTATTCTTTCATCTGTCTGTCCATGTCTTTTGTCCATTTATCAATTGAGGTTTACATTTTTTTCTACTTTATTTATCTATTTTAGGATTTTTGAGGTATTAATCCTTTGTCATATTTTCCACACATTTATTTTTCTTCTTTGCCCTTTTGAAATGCAGAAGTTAAATATTTTTTACAAAATCAAGTTTGTCTTTCTTTTAATGTGATGTCTTCTAACATCTCAAATTCTTCCCTAGCCAGGATAGTCATTTCTCTATTATTTTAAACAACAGGTTGAATTACTTTAAAAAAACATTCAACTATCTTTAATTAAACTGAAATTTGTTTTGGTAAATGCTATGAAGCAATGACCTAAATTAACTTTTACTCCCAAAAGCTTACCAATTGTGCCAATACTATTTGTGCAATTATATTTTTCTTCCTTATTGATTTCATACTGTTAAGAAAATAAACTGAAGATAATAGAAAACATAATTTACTGATAAAAGCTTCCCAAGGTTATATAGCTCCATACATAAGCTTTAACACATCCAAATAAATTTATAGAAAAGCCTTTTAAAATCTATTATTTGTATCTACTTACTATACACAAATGAATTAACAATATTAGTTTTGTTGAAAACACAAAAACGTTGCCACTTGAATTTTGAAAAGGGAAGTTTCCTCTATGAACTGGGCACATTTCATCATATGGGAGAAAGAAGATCTATAACGGAGAGGAAATGACCAATAACAAATTAAAATAGCATATTAGGGGGCCGGCCCCGTGGCTTAGCGGTTAAGTGCGCGCACTCTGCTACTGGAGGCCCAAGTTCGGATCCTGGGCGCACACTGATGCACTGCTTGTCCAGCCATGCTGAGGCCGCGTCCCACATACAGCAACCAGAAGGATGTGCAACTATGACATACAACTATCTACTGGGGCCTTGGGGAGAAAAAGGGGAAAAAAGGAGGAGGATTGGCAATAGATGTTAGCTCAGAGCCCGTCTTCCTCAGCAAAAAGAGGAGGATTGGCATGGATGTTAGCTCAGGGCTGATCTTTCTCACCAAAATAAATAAATAAATAAAACCTTTAAAAAAAAAATAAAAAATAAAATAGCATATTAGTAGTGCTTTTACCTTTTCAAAGTGATCATACACATATCTTTTTTTACATTCATAACTAAGTAGGCCAGGTAAATATTTCTGCAGATGTAGAAAGTGAAGCATCAGAATTTTAAACAAGTGTGATTTTAAATTTTAAATGACTACCAAGGGGCAAAATTATCATTTGTATTCAGATCTTTTAACTCCTCATCATGGGTTTAATGAAAATACAAACACAACACTGCTAGAACCACTGATGGTGAAACAGCCCCCTTTCTCCCCATCCCCCCTCCTTCTTCTACTGGTCACTTCTTTCAGCCGACACATACACTGGTTCATTCCCCCTGGAAAACACGACCCTCTCAACCCCATATCCCGCTTCTGCTACTGCTTCAAGGGCCCACACTTCCTTTACAGCCCAGCTCCAGAACAGGCTCCACAGCACCTGTCTCCAGCTTCCCTCACCTCACTCTCTCCTGGCCCACTTCAACTATCCTGTGTCCTTACTGTTCTCCTTCAACCAGTCCTGCTCCCGTCCTCAAGGACCTCCCCCTTGCTATCCCCCGTTTCTGGCTCTTATCTTCCTGACCTATTGGCAGTACTGGACACAGCTAATGACTATCTCTTGATATACTTTCTTTACTTGGCTTTAGGACAACCTAGAACAATGCCTGGCATAGAACTGGTGCTCCATATATAATGTAAGCAAATGAATGCAAGATCAAAGGAACAACTGAATGAACGGTGACATAAAAATCAACTCAGGGGTGGCAAACAGGTTTCGTCTTGAGTGTCAACTGCAAATGACTGGAGTAGCTGCATAGAGTGATGCATAGCGGGGTTTCTGAGGGAAAACATCCTGATTATCAACACGGCATGCCGGTATTCACCACCCCAGCATTAATCTGAAACCATGTAGAATGACATAGGTTTAAAAAAAAGAGATAAACTAGTTCACAGTACACACAAGTACAATTATATTCTCGAGGTTCTTCGCACAAATTTTGTTAGCAAAAACTAGTAAACAGAAAATGATTGAGTGACAGGTTAAACAAGATTAATGAAAAGCTATGCTTAAATGTAATTAGGGAATAAAAAACAATATTTCAGAGAATGTGAGAGGCTGTCTTTTACCTTTTTAAAAGTAGGCCTACTTTGGGAGCAATTTAAAACATCCCTCTTACACGCTCTATGGTGATACATATTTTGTTTTTTAACTCCTAAAAATTTATCTATCCATATATAAAACATTAGAAAAAAATTTAATAGTCACTAATGACACAATCCTTTCACCATTACAGAATACCTTATTTTTCAGGATTAATTAGGAATTCTTGATACTCACATTCTGTTTCATGCTTATAGGCTCCTAATGTTAGCTGACGAGATGTTGTTAATAACTGTTGCATCATTGCTGTTGGGTCCTGAAATATCTAATGGGATAGAATGAAAAAAAAAGGCCAATAACGTCCAAGTTCTACAACTTAAAATGCTTTTAAAATTCTCATTACAGGGACCGGCCCCGTGGCACAGCGGTTAAGTGCACACGCTCCGCTGCTGGCAACCCAGGTTCGGATCCCAGGCACTCACCGATGCACCGCTTGTCAGGCGGCGTCCCATATAAAGTAGAGGAAGATGGCCACGGATGTTAGTCCAGGGCCAGTCTTCCTCAGCAAAAAGAGGAAGATTGGTATGGATGTTAGCTCAGAGCTGATCTTCCTCCCACACACACAAAAAATAAATAAATAAAATTTCATTATAAAATTTTCTTACCATTTCATCATAGAACTCTGAAACCACTGTCTTTTTTCCCAGCATTGCATTGGTGTCTGATTGAAACAGCTTTAATAAATGATATAGGGTTACCTGTGAAATAAAAACAGACATCACACCTGTGAATGGTTTTCATCATCACTGTGACACACTGTCATTTCTGTAACTGAATTAGAGGCTAGAAGTAGCAAACACATCAAATTCACGAGTTTGTCTCAACTACCACTTAGTGTGACAAATTGCCAACTCTCTGTACTGTTATTTCCCCATTAGGTATCACCATCCATCCATATCTACTTAACAGGATGCTCTGAAGAGTGTAAGTTAGGATCTCCTAAAGCACCACTAGAGAGTGACTATGTATACCAATAACACAAGATACAGCTATGGAAATTGAACTGGGAAATCGTTAAGGCATGAATTCTTTTACTTACACAAGTGAAACTAGATTAACTATGACAGTTATTCTGCGAAGACTAAAGTTTACGAATTTACTGTGGGGAAAAAAAGATCTGATACTATTTTTGTTTTCCATCCAAAAGGAATGACCAATACTAAAATGCTCAGTGAGGGCCAGCCAGTTTCTTTGGTGATCTATAAGACTATTATATAAGTAACATAATAAACAATAAAAAGTTAGTGATAATTCACTTTTGGCAAGAGCAACGGGTCTTCAAAATACTTAAAAACAGGTGCAGGAAGACATCAAAGGAAAAGCTTTGCAGCACAACGTGTGACTACTTGAGCAAAATAAAACCTAGCTGGCAAACGTCAGAGTTCACGCTGAAGTTGCAGAAAACAATTCACAGGCCTCAAAGAATTTTCCAAAAAGTTAGCTAAAATCATTATAAGGAGCATACATCATATGCCATAGTTTAAATAAACCTTCACATGATCTATTTTCTGTAAGAGCCAACTACGGAAAAAGTATAATGGTTTCATTATACTAGAAGAACACTACAACACTTTTTAGGGAATAAAATTGAAGTCTATGTAGATCTACATGGAAACCCATTCAATGAATTAATCACAGAGAAGTGCAAAGGATCACACTGCCCTACTTTTCCAAGACTGGACTTGGAGAGCTGTCTCTTAATGAGGTTACATGATATAGTAATTTCTTTTAGAGATATATTTTCCAACTAAGGGTGAAGCGGGGGAACAGATGAGGAGACAGACAGGTAAGACAGCACATTCTCAAAATAAAAATGAATTCAAAGCAATCTTACAAAGTTAAAGAGAGCTTCTGCTCCAGTAACATTACCAACTTCTCCTTCTCCCTCTCTCTCAACACCTGCTGAATTCTGTGCTCTATTCTCCTGAATAGACTATTCTCATTAATTTCTGTGCTCTATTCTCCCGAATAGACTATTCTCATTAAGGATAGCAGCAGTGTCTCATCTTTGTATCCTAACCCTTGAACAGTACCTTGAAGATAATGGATATTTAATAATTTCTTGCCAGATAGAATATAACGTCTGTGAAAGTATTTCAGAAGAACAAGAATGGTAGGAGATCTGGAAACCTTATCACATGGAAAATATTTAAATGAGCTATGGATGTTTATTCAGGAGAAAACTAATGTAGGAACAGTTATCACTAAAAAGTTCAAGGAAGCGTAACATAAAGTAGAGCTTTCTTACCACTAGAACTACCCCAAACCTGAAGAGGATGACACAAGTCAACATTCTCCACACTGGAGATATGCAAGCCCAAACTGGATCCTCATTTGAGAGACTGCCTAAGGGAATTCCTACATGGGAAGAGCACGGCTGATATCCATGGGCACCCAAATCACCTGGGTGCTGGCCCCCCTCCAAGCCTACTGAATCAGACTTGCAGGGGAGCCAGCGGGCAGGAGTTTGAATTTTTAAAAGACACCTCAGGTATTTCTGGTGCAGCCAGTTAGGAACTCATTCTCTGAACCACTGGCCCAGGTGATAGTCAACTTCTGTAAAAGCAAATATATAGTTTTAAAAACACAATCTGATAATTAAAATGTAAATGTTTGGTGTTAAAGGAATGCACTGAATTTAACAAGATAAAAATTAATGGTGATAAACCTTAAGGTCCTGAAACTGGAGCCACAACCCAGCCACACAAACATGGAATGAGAGAGCTATACTCAGTTGTGACCCCATGGGTTTAAAAATAAAAAAGGCTTAGTGTTTTTATCAAAAGAAAGAGTGATGGAAAGAGTGTGAGGTCTGAAAGCAATACTTGGGTTCAAAAACTAGCTCTGCCACAATTAATCGTTTCTGAGCGCGTGCTTGATCTCTGAGCCTTAGTATCCTCATCTCTAAAATGACTACATCACCAACCTCACAAAGTTGCTGAGGGATCAAAGTGAAAGCTTTGAGGGACTTTTCACATGATCAAGCAACAATCTGATAAGAGATCAAAAGATGAAAAAGTCAGCGGTTATAAATAAGGATTCACGAGTAAGATATTAAGTAAAGCTGCTAGTACTGATGGCAGCTTGAAAAAGCAAAAAGACGGTTTCTAAGGCTTTTAACTATAAAAAATTGAATACTCCCATTTCAGACAGCATATAGACTCAACCTGTTTATCACTAATAACCAAATAATACTAATGAAGCTTAAACTTTTTTTGCTCTAGTAGACATATGATTTCCATGGTTTCCTTCCAACAAATGTTCACATTATACTCTTTCTTTCCATACTTGAAAAATAAGAGAGTTTTGAAAGGCACTTTACTTAAAAATGGAAAACTTTAACTCATGGCAAGATATGCCACGCCATAGCTTACATAAAGTACGTCTAATGAAAATGTCAACATATAATGAGCTATTCATCAAGTACTGTTAGTTTCACGATTACTAAAAAGTCCATGTTATATCTGCAAAGATTAACATTACTCACAGGTCTTTCATTAGGATCAATGAAAAATATTTTGATGATTATTTCGAATTCACCCCATCCTGTTTCAGTAATTTCATATGGAGGCTTAGTAACAACTGACGAGAGAGAAAAAAATAAAACAATTGTAAATTGTAAATTACTGATTCAGTTTCCTCTTTTTAAATTTGTATATTATGAATCAAAAAACTGTACTGTACCTCTTAAAGGATTACCATAGCTTTCATGTAATTTAAATTGGATTTTCTTCACATATGCTGACATATCCTAAAACACAGTGGAATTAATTAGTTCCATCTACATATAAAAAGTAGGAGAGAAATACACTGAGCATATGTACCTAATTTTATAAAATACACTTCCCTTCAAATTTTGTGGAATACAATTTTCTAAAAAACGTGAATTATACATGGGAGGTTTGTTTTTTACTTTAAACAAAGGAGGTCTGTGAATTCTGATTTTTCCATAAAAACAATACGACACTCAATATTTTTTATAGAAATAACCATATAAACCAAACCAAATGTAAGAACTAATCAACTTCAAAGAACAAAGCTAAGGTCAAGTAAACTAAGCAACCCAAAACTGTTGGATATAAAACTCCTCCTTTTCTTAAATTTATTTTGAAGCACAGGAGCACATTCATTAGTTATGACACATAGAAGAGCTCCTCCTGGTAAAGGTGGCCTTTTTCAAAAATAATTCATTATAGAAAAATAGGAAAATGCAAAACAGTAAGTCATACTCAATAGTAATGTTTATTAATCTTTTTATTTGCTTTCAGGAATTTTTCACGTGATTATCTAAATAGATATATATTTTTAAAAATTGGGATCATCCTGTAATGATATATTAATATCCACTTTCATCACTTAACATTATATTGCAAACATTTTTCCTGAGGCAGATCTTCATAAGCATCTTTGAAGACTCTTTTGGGAATACTTTCCTTCATTTTTTTAAAAAATATGAGTGACTACCAATATTAGGTACCAGATGCTATAATGGTAAATAATAGGGTCTTGCCCTTGGGATTTCAGTGTGGAGGAGGGAGCAGTCAAGAAAACCAGCATTTCAATGTCACGTGTTATGAGGGCATTAAGTACACATCCATAGGAGGGACACCTAATTTAGTCCTCGGCGAACATGAAAGTAGTTCTAAAGAAAATGACACCTTAAGACCTAAGGGAACAACACGAATGGAGTGGGTGGGGAGGAATGAGCAAAGAGGTTTAAGAATAATTGTGTATTGGTAGAATGTAGGGTATAAGGAAATGATGAGACAAGCACAGACAAGGGATAAGGCTGCAGAGACAGGATAGGGAAAGATCATGGCAGGCTTTCCAAAACATGATAGCTTTAATTTTATTATGAAAGCAATAGGTAGTCATTGAAGGTTTTTTTTTTTTAATAACAGCTTAATTGAGACATAATTCACATACCACACAACTCACCCCTCTAAAGTGAACCATTCAATGGTTTTCAGTATATTCAGAGAGTTGTACAACCATCACCACAATCAATTTTAGAACATTTTTACCAAACAGAAAGAAACTCGATACCCACTAGGACTCACACCCTAATCCCTCTTCCTCCCACCCACCAGCAACCACTCATCTCTTTTCTCTGTGTATGGATTTGCCTATTCCGCACATGTTATAAACATGGAATCACATAATCTGTGGCCTTTTGTGTTTGGCTTCTTTCACTCAGCATGTTTCCAAGTTTCATCCATGTGGTAGCAGCATATAACAGTACTTTATTTCTTTTTTTTTTTTTTGTGAGGAGATCAGCCCTGTGCTACCATCTGTTGCCAATCCTCCTCTTTTTTTGCTGAGGAAGATTGGCCCTGAGCTAACATCCGTGCCCATCTTCCTCCACTTTACATGGGATGCCAAGCAGTGCGTCGGTGCACGCCTGGGATCCGAACCGGCGAACCCCGAGCCTCCGCAGCAGAGCGCGCGCACTTAACCACTTGCGCCACCAGGCCGGCCGCCAGTACTTTATTTCTTTTTATCTAATAACATTCCATTGTATGGATACACCACATTTTATCTATCCATTAGTCAGCTGACAGACATTTGAGTTGTTTCCATTTTTTGGCTATAATAATAACGCTGCTATGACCAATCATATACAAGTTTTTGGGTGGACTTTGGAGGATTTTAAATAGAGAAATAGTTTATTCATTCAATAAGCATCTGGTGAACACCTACTATGTACTGGCTGCGTTCCAGGTACTAGAGATTCAGCCCCAAAACACAATTACCAGCAGGCATACAGCAGATTTGTCTCTCATATGCTCTGACGGTCTTATCACCAATGATCACTTACAAAGTATTAACTGCTATTCCTGAAACAACTGATTAAATACCACGGTAACTTAAGAAATGGTGTTTGGAAGATGTACTGTGTTTATAGTACAGTTCTTATTACTGTAATTTAATTTTAATTAGAAAACATTTTTGGAAAATTGATTTCTACTAAGAATTATATGAAGATGACAGCTCTCATTGTATTATTTCAATTTTTTGGGTAACACTTCTACAGTGTGCCAATTTTATAATCAGAAAGTTACTATAAAAAATAATTTATTTTCAAGCAAAACAAACCACAGCTTCAAAAACAAGTGCCTACCTCATTTCTGTATGGTTTCACATATACTGTCCACTGATGGGTGTGCCCGTCTTCCTCTCTTTTCTTTCCAAAATACCGAGCAACATTACCATAAACTATTGGTTTAACAATAGTAACCCCCTAAAAGAAAAATAATTTAAACACCAATTAATATTTTATCATGACCCAAATAAACAGAATGAGAGCTCTGAAAGCTTGTTTTAAGGAATGGCAGACAGTCCAATAACCTCTATAGAGTTTGGTTATAACATGGATTTCTCTCAACACTTCAGACACATTCTCATTTCATATTAACACCAAATAACACCAGATTACAATGTTCCCACTTTGAAAATGTCTACTTAAATGATGTAAAATACTTTGAGAGGTTTTTTTATTCTTTGGTGAGGAAGACTGTCCCTGAGCTAACATCTGTGCCAGTCCTCTATTTTGCAGGTAGGACGCAGCCACAGCATGGCTTGAGGAGCGGTGCCTATGGCTGCCCCGGGGCTCCAAACCTGCGAACCCAGGGCCTCGAAAGCGGAGAACACGACCTTAATCACTATGCCACCGGGCCAGCCCCGAGAGTTTTTTTTTTTTTTTTTTTTTTTTTAAGAAATACAAAAGGCGCTTTATTTACACACTTTAAAACTAGGCTCCAGAAAAAAATCGCCAACTTTGACGGCCATCACCCGATGGTAGCAGCTTGCCGCAGTGTTTCCCAAAGCACAGTACAAATATTAAAGGCAGTTTGTGATACGATTTCAGGTAGAATAAGAGAAATCATTTTTTATTTCACTGCTTATAAGTTTACTTTTATCAGTATCAGAAGAACCATACCATAACTAGCAGCTGAAATCCACAATGTCAAAATATTAACGTTCACGAAGGGGCCTGTAAAAGCCGAATGCATTTAAATAAAAACGTTGACTATCACAGCTGGGTTCAGACAGTGGCGCTTGAATGGCACGTTGGCTACGTCCGTGCTCGGTCCTGAGACGGAGACAGCCGGCTCTCATCAGCTCTGTGAGCCCTTAAGAGCAAGGGCCGGGAGCGCGGGCAGACGCGACGGGAAGGAGAGAGAACATCTCACGTGAAGAGAAAACGCTGAACGCCGCACGTGAATCAGACCCGCTGCTCAACAGCACGAACGCATCTGAAGGACAAGGAGCAAGATACGCCACGCGTGCAAGTGCCGTGCCGAGCTCACCAACGCTTACCGAGACCGGGGAAAAGCAGCGGGCAGACGGAAACGCTTCCGATCGCGGCTGGATAACTAACAGCGCAATCCAACGCCCGACAGCGTGACGTGAGCTCGGAAGGCGGCCCGCAGTGTGGACCAAAGCTCAAATCGGGCAGTGGCCGCCGACGCTCCCGCGGCGGGCACCGGGGGCCCAGGGCCAGCGCCGAGGGGGCGTGCGACCGCCCGCAGCCGCCGCGGGCCGCAGGGGCCTGCAGAGCCGGCAGCGACGAAACGCTCCTCCGTCAACCGACTCCCTGCCCGGACGCGACGTTTCCCAACTGGAAAACGCGCCCAGAGGAGCGCGTAACGCTCAGCGAGGGACGGGCAGTCCCCGACCGTCACGCTCTACGGGGCAGACCACCTCAAGTCCCCGGGACTCAAACGGACAGCCTCAGGATCCAACGCGACGACAACAGAGTGCTGCACCCGCGCCACGAGTGGACGTTCCACCCTCGGTGAGTCTCCTGTCAGTCCAGCACCTTCCCCGAAGCCCGGACGAGGTGCGTGTAGAGGAAGCTTCGGGCGCCACGACCTTGCCCTGCCTCCCCTCCCATCAAACCTCGGCGGCTGCCGTTCTCAAGAACGCCCACTCTACACGTGGCCCCGGGACACCCTGCGCCACAGGTCTCTACGCCGTGTGACTAAAACAACGGGAAACGACGCCACATCATAAGGACTCCAGAAACCCCACGGACGAGCGAGGCCGACGCGGACCGGGTGACCTGTGTAAAGAAAGGCGTCCCTCCGCCACAGGCAAACCCAGACGCGCACAAGCCGCCGGTGTAGCGGGAACGGCCGGCCGCGCCCTGACGACCGCGCCGGCGTGGCTCACGGCGGGCAACGGCCGCGGCGGCCCCGGGTCAGGCGGG